ATATTTTTTTAGTTTGTTTTGATACACATATAATTTAATAGGGTAGTATTTTTTATTTTCAAATTTAGTGGATAACAATTGTAAAAAATGAGTGAAAACAATCCCACGGACAATGCGACGGATTTAAGGTTATGTCAAGGTACGTCTCTTGTGAATATCAATTGATTGTTAGGTTTTCTCTTCTAAAATTACATTAACATACATTATTAATACAAATACATTTTCCAGGGCGAGACGATGAGGCAACCGCAAGCATTTCCACTGGTTCAAGAGGAAAAAATGCACAATATTATCGTGATTACAGAGCACGGAAGCGAGCGGAGCAGGAAAAAGAGTCGTTGAATAGAACTAGTGATCCTTCTACGACTGCTGATTCTTCTACAATTAACGTCGCAGGTTGCGAAGTTTAACTTCTTCCGCGCGGAGGGACTCCACGAACTATTTTTTTTGTGAAATAGCCAATTAGAAAGATGCTGGCTATCATACCAAATTCAGGATTTGGAAAAGTTCTCTTATCATAAGCGGAACCGAAAAGAGAACAATAATAATAAAAAAAAACTAAAATTAACCCCATAAAACCTAACGAATACTCAGAAATAAACGGAAAATCAAAACTAATAAAACTTGCTATCAAACAGTTTAGTTTACAGATACAAACTAAAATCGTTTAACAATTTCAATGGAGATTTATTATTTTTTATCCATAAATAAATCTATGATATTTCTTCAGACAAAACTGTCGCACGTAACATTTAATTGCTGATGTATATGTTTTAACCACTCTTTCTTCCTACGGATCAAGAGTCGTACATCGTGGGTCAAACTATTCTAATCAAATAATGTCATCTTGGAAAATGGTGAATTAAAATAAAGTTCGAAAATATATTTTTGTAAAATGACAGGAAAACCTCTTATATTTCTTTCATGATAATTTTTATTTTGTGATTGAGAATAAAAAAAAAATTATATATACTTTTTACATTCGCTTCCTAGTAAATATGCTTTCAAGCAAATAAATTAGTAACTTCTCTTTTACCTTAATTTATTGTGGGATAAAATAACTGCATTTGGGTGATGGTAATTTGTTGTTGGATTAAAAAAAGGTATTTTTTAAAATTTTGATTTCCGAGAAATATTATTTACCATATAAAACAAATAAGAAATACTAACGAGTATCACTGTTGTTTAGTTTGATGCTCATAAGGGAAGTTTCGTTGAAGATGTTGGTTTATTTCCAATTGTCAATTATTCTACTTCAAAATGCTATAAGAAAGCAATTATATTAAAAATCGAAAACTGCTATTATGAAGAATAAATCTGATAAATAATAATACTCGTTTATTAATAAAAATGCTGAGCTCCCTTAAAATAAAAAGTATTCTTAATTTTTAATCAATTGTATGAATTGCTACAATAAAATTTGCAAATGTACCTGAGAGCGCGGCAGCAGGGACCAGTAACACATGACACGTCCGTTCATATGGAAATCAAAACTGTGAGTGACATGTATACGTTAGAATAGCTAGAATAGCAAGTAAACTTTAAGGAATCTATGTATTGACTTTTGATTGCTTTAATTGTTGATGGAGCTCGTTTTTCTTTTTTTTTAACTTTACGCATTCGTATATGTCGGCGGGAAAGGAAGTGTAAAGACCTGGTTTCTTAGGACAAGCGCCTTATCTGGGCGTCAGCGTTTAGTTGACGTTACCCTGACGCCAACAAAATACTGGTTTGTTAGCTCAAGGCCTGGTTTCTGAGGAGAAGCGTCTTAACTGGGCATCAGCGTTAAGTTGGTATAATTTTGACGCCATAAAAATACCTTTTTGTTAGCTCAGCGTGAGCAGTCGGTCCAACACAGACATTATCTTGCATTGCGCATGCGTTAATAACGTAAGCAAATATTTATTTTGAATTTGTATTGATTTTGCGATTGTCGACCAATGCTTTAAAGAGCAAATAATGACTTTGTCCAAGAAAAAACACATTATAGCTTAGCTAAATGAAGAAGAAGAGGAAAAAGAGACTATATTTAATGTTAAAATTCCCCTGAAAAACTGAGCTCTGCGACGCCCATGCTGCACCTTATTCAAGAATGCGGTATCAAAGAACTACTGATTATATTAATGCATTTTATTTATTGAGAAAAAGATTATATTAATGTTAGTTTTTAATAACTTTAGTTTTATCAAATTCAATTTTTAAATTATAGGGAATATGTTTGACAGTGCTTATTATATTTGCGTACCAAGAAATATGTGGATTCAATGTATTAAGCTTTACTGAATTTTTGAAATTATTATATTGTACAAAGAAGTTGTTAAAAAAGTTTTTTGCGAACTAATCCGCAAATAAAGACAGCGGAACATACAAGTTAGGTTGAATTCAAAGAAAGAATACCTCATTTTCATCTTTAATGTGTCCATGAAAGCAGGCTGATTTCGTTTAAAATTAGTGACAACTATTTTATTTTGTAGTGTTTATTCCAAAATTATGCTCAGTATATATACGTATCTCAAGCGGCGATTGAATGAGGACGTTACATTTTAAATAAATCGACAATTCTTGCCGAATATAGAAAAAATTTCAATGATCAAATCAATTAAAAAAAATTTTCAGTAATAGGGTTGCTCGGAAATTTTTTTTTCTTCAGAAAACTTCATTGTATTTATTCACAGTCAACTTCCCAGTTAAGTCGTATAATAATTATAAATTTTGAAAGCTGATACAGGAAGACTTACTTGATAAAAAGTTCAAAACTACGCCGTTAGTTTTTGATTGGTGCCTTTCCAAATGAAGAAAGTGAACAGCAGCACTTTCAGTTTATTTTACTTTTTTACTATCTAAAAAGTAAAAATGGTGTTAAAGCAGGAAAATAACTATCCGATGTGTATAGAGAAGATGTATTGACAATACAACAGTGCTAAAACTGGCTTGCAAAATTTTGATCTGACAAAATTTCGATTAAGATGCATAAGGATTCACTACGCCAGTTTAGGCTGATAAAGACACAATAACGGCATTAATTGAAGTTTAGTGATCGCTGAGAGCGTAAATCTGTTGAATTCGATTGTTTATCATCATTTGAAATACCTTAGGTTTAATCGCAAAGCTGGTCATATGGGTTCTTACGGAAAAAAATTTGTGCCGTCGCATTAGACGTCTGTGATTTGCTTCACAAACGTCAAGAAAATTATCCGTTTTTGAAGTGGAAGCGGACCATCATTGGGAACGAGAAATGATTTGCTTATAATTTTCGTTTGGGTCTCTACAAAAAAATTTATACGGTAATTCCTTTGCTTCAAATGAAGGGATCAAAAGTCACCTGGATCATTTTTTTGCTAGTGAAGAACAAACATTTGATTAGCTAGGAAACATGCTACTACCATTGGCTCAGAATGGACAATAATATACAGGGTGTTTATAAGGTCCCGGACCCATTTTGATGTTTAATAACTCATGAAATAATAAAGATAGATTAAAATTAAAAGCATAAATGGTTAGATAGACTCAAAAAGTTTCATGACCCTTGTCAATGAACTTCCACGCGTGCCCCCTTCGTCTCAGGGAGAATATCAATTCGATTGTCAATTTCACGCCAGATAGCTTTCTTTTTTACAGAAAAGACGGTCTCATCAGTCGTATACTTACACCCGTATTCACCACGCCGAGGTAAATTCAAGAGTAACTCGGAGATCAGAATATCCACGGTTCAGAGCTACTCTCGGATTAACCCTCGCTTTTTATTCTCCAACCGTTTTCAACAGAGGATTTCACAACTCGAGTTTAACTCTTGCAGGAAATATAACGAGGCCTTTGATTGGGCAAGGTAAAGCCATGTGACTTTGTATATAATATAAACGCGTGCATCGTGCATAAACAAATTAGTGTGAGTATCGCTAATTTAAGTGGAGAGGTTTTAAGAAACGATATCTTTCAAAAAAGTTTATTTCATCTAACTCTTTTTAGGTCATTATTTCTGATAGTTGGGACATATCTTTCTCTTCTTTCAACAGTTTCAAGAAATTCAAGATCTTCAAGCTCAAACGCAGCGATAGAATCCTCCATCTTTTTTGTTTACAAGCTCCTCGTCAATAGGTTACCCTCCGAAAACACGGCAAAAACGGAGGGTTACCCGGAGAGTCAGAACTGTTGATGAAATCTGCGAGTTTGGCGAAATTTCGGCTGGAGAATAACGTTTCGCACTAAACTCGTGATTTTACTCTTACTCATAGATTACCCGGAGGTAATGTGTGTTGGTGAATACGGACGTTAGACATGTTGTAAAACTTCGTATTTCCACACCTAGAAGAGATTCAGCCACATGTCTTTTTGCTACAAGATGGGTGCACCACCTCATTGGGGTATCATCGTGCGTAGCTCTTTGAATGACCATTTTCCAGGAAAATGGATTGGGCGAGGAGATCCAATTCCTTGGCCACCCAGATCACCTGAAATAACACCGCCGGACTTTTTTCTTTGGGGACTTATAAAGGACAATGCTTACAGGAGGATCGTGTCGAACATTGATGACCTAAAAACCAGAATTACAACCGCAATAGCCTCTGTGGATGCCGACATGCTTGCCGCTACCTGGCGTGAAATTGACTATCAGCTTGATGCGACGAAGGGGGCACACGTGGAAGTTCATTGACAAGAGTCAAGAAACTTTTTGAGTCTATCTAACCATTTATGTTATTAATTTTAATCTAACTTTATTATTTTATGAGTTATTAAACATCAAAATGAGTCTGGAACTTTATAAACACACTGTATTTCAATTAATTCATTCATGATAACAATATCGTCTTTCGTTTCAGTAAGAATAAATATTAAATGATATACGAACACGAATTTTCTTTCCCTTATCTCCAGTCTACCGAGAGAGGAATTCGGTCTGGGAAGATAATGGCCTCTTAAATAGAATTTACATCATTTACAATTATTATTTCTTGAAATTGTATTTTAACGTAATTCATTTAAAATACTTTTTTATTTACCAGGAAAGAAGACAGTAACTGAAGAGCTTGAATCACGATATCAAAGTAATAAAACAAAAAATTTTTATTTCATATTTCATAATTTTGGTTTTACTCTTTTAGAAAGAATTTAGAAAGCTTTGAAACATTCGATTCTTTAAAAGGTATTATCAACCAATGCTAAAATATAGACGAATTAGTTCCACACACAGCAAACACATAAATAAAAAAGTGAGAAACTTATTGTCGGATATTTTCACAGTATTTATTGTCGGATATTTTTACACAAAGTATGCTTTTCATACTAATCTGAGTATAGAAAACTATAATGTTAAGTAGTAGCACGCTCCAGCACTACTCGCTTGGAGACTAAGCTCGCTTCGCTAGCGATCAAGTTAGTCCAGTTAGAAACGAGGCCAAGATTTTGGCATCATAAATAATTGCAAAAACAATATTAAAACGGAAATAATTTGTTTCCTTGACGCAAAACATTTTTAAACCATATGGTCACAAAATTAAAAAAGTGTGATTTTAGACTTAACTTTAACTTCCAACTAACTAACAGCTTTTGCAATGCATCTTAGGAACACAATTAAATCACCATTAGGCATTATATTACCTAGTGACAATTTTCTATTTTGCCTATTCTCTGTAAGTTGTAATTGCAGCAGCCTGATATTATTGGTATATAAAACGAAGTTTCATGGTTTAAAATCAAAGTTTTTTATTTAAAGTAAATTAATAAGAATGCGTAGATTGTTTTCCATCGAGGAATCGGAATCTGCCGCTATTTTTGATATTTTTATAAATATGCTGGGCCTTTGCTCGCTAATATGTTGGCCTTTTTTCAATCCGATCAAAGTGGTCACCCACCTGCTCCAGGACAACAGCAAGTGAGACTTGACTTCAGTGATCTACTTGGAGCTGTGTCATGATGATCAATCCACTGCAGAATTAAAAGGAAGTTAACTCATGAATGTTTTAAAATACTTTTAAAAAAATTCAACTCAATTGATTTAACTTTTTAATTGTCTTTAATTATTTACAAAAAAAATTATTTGATTTTTCCTGTTGATTTTTTTTAAACTTGAATTTTTATCAGTTTTCTACATACTGTAGGATATTTTTATGGTGTATTTCTTCCTGTTCAGGTTCTGAAACAAACTACATTGGATTCAAATAATGCGATATTTATGCACCATAAAACTTAACAATGAAACTTTTGAATCGAATCGATCATCATTTTTATATCTTTTCATTATAATTTTAAACTCTGACCGGTAAAAATAAATCCCATTATATTTTTACATTGATAATAGCTTTTTAAAGGAATGCGAATTGAAAAAAAAACCCTTAAAATATTGTTTTTTTATGTGAAAAAATTGTGCCATATTTTGTCCAATATATTGTCAATACTCATAATATTATATTTTATTCTTAAAACTGTCGTGCTTATTACAATTAATTACTTGCCAAGTTGTATAACAGTGTATATTTTATCACACCTATACTTCAAATAATTCTTTTTCATAGTTTTACACAAATGAAACTTTATTATAGGTATGTCATATATGTTATCACTCTGACAAATATTATCCACTTAGGGTGTCACGAAACAATTTCAAATCTCGTAAGGTGGCGGTACATAGAAAAATTCGCAGATAGAAGGCATTTAGTGTTTATTTTAAATCCATACTTAAACACTTCCAAAACTAACGAACGACTTTCAATTTCACTTGGTATACCTTGAAAGGGTTTTAAACTAATAATGCGGGCAAGCCAGTCAATCCATGTATTTAAAAATATAAGCATCTTTTATGTGTTAGTTAAGTAGTTAACGTAAGGTATGACTATAAAGCGTTTGGAATCACACAGCTGAACAATTTGTTTCCTTTTCCATTACTTTTATTTTTGATTAGATTTTTTTTTCTATTTGCAGACAGTATTAATTTAATTATTCTTTTATTTTAGTTATTGTGTTTTTTTTAACCTATTTGACATTTTATAAAGGCATAACTTGGCATTTTAATATTTTTTTTCCTTTAATAAAAATGTTTTTGGCTTCCAGTTAGTATCAATTTAAAAAATAATTTTACTTTATTTATTGAGTCTTTTTTAATAATTAAATATTGCTTGATATTTTAATGGTAGACATAGTTCATCATTTCAATCAAATATCATAGTTAAAATAATAATATTTCAAACGGCTGTTTCAATAATGAAAGACTTCGACAATTTTTTCAAAATGTATTGGGTTTCTTTGTATCCATGCGACGTTTATTTCGTTCGACAGGTGGAAAAATCATATGAAGTGATTTACTGAATTTCGGAACCAGAATAAATTCAAATCAAGAAATAAATTTTCGGGAGGACTGTATTTTGAAACACAAACAACAGTTCATCAACATTTTTTATTGAAACCTTTTAATAAAATGATGAGACATGATTGAAACGCTTCTAAACATCTGTAGGTTGGGAGAACCTTTTCAATGTTAATGAAGTATGCCTTAGGGCAGATGGATTTGGAAAAAAGTTGTTCAAAGGAATGAACAATGATCTAACAGTGCATGATGCAAATTATTATTTCTGTCAATTATCTGAATAAAATTATCTGTAACGATGCGTTAATGAACGAAATGAATTTTCATTAACTTATGTTTCTCATACTTGAAATTTTGAAACAAAAAGAGTATTAATTCGATAAAAAAATAATAAAGAAAGAGAATTAAAAAAAAAATGAAAAATAAATAAATAAACTTATGTGAAACGGAAACTACTTTCAATACTGCATTTTCTACTCCTGCATGAATGATTTTTTTTTATCATGGTTCATAAAATATTTAAAATAGTATATAAGTTTTCTTATATCAATATATTAAGAAAACTATTTGTGTCATATATTTTTAGGTTTAAAGAAGCCGCTAAAGAATTTCGGCTTTTTGCGACAATAATATGTAAGTATCAATATCTGTTATGTATAATACAATAAGATACGGTGCATTATTTTTTTAACAATTAATTGCCAAACTGCTTAATAGTTTACATCAGGGGTCCCCAACCCTATGCCCGCGGGCACCGCCCGTCGATCGATCTAGGTGCGCCCGTTGCTTGTGCCCAACGGTAAAATATTTCAGTTTTCCATTTTCGCAATAAATGCTATGCAAATTTTATGCTATGCAATTACATACTGAGGTACGCTGGCTCAGTAAAGGTTAAGTACTTGATAGATTTCTACATTTAATTGGAGAAATAAAAAATTACCTTGTAACCAAAAATCAAACATTTTTAGAACTAAGAGATCCTCTTGGACTAGCAGATTTGTCTTTCATAACGGACATAATAGAAAAACTAAATAATTTGAACTTGGAGCTGCAGGGAAAGGACAAACATAAAACAAAATTTATAGAGGCTATAAACTCGTTCAGAGCTAAGCTAGTTTTGTGGATATCACATTTGAAAGTGAAGTCTCTTGTGCATTTTCCAAACATGAAAAAAATGATAGGTGACAGTGAAATTGACTTATTAACATTTGTCATCAACCTCCAATTGCTTAAAGATCAATTTAAAAAGCGCTTTCAACAATTTAATATCATCGAGCCTTTGATAACTTTTTTGTTAATCCTTTTACCAACCAAATAAACGTAATCGTAATAGCAACATACATTTCAGAATTAGAAATTGTGGATCTTCAGAATGACATTATCCTCAAAACTATTATATCACATGAGAAATTCTGGAATATAGTTGAAGGAATAAATTCCATTCTTTAAAAGAGCATCATATTCTCATAATGGACTATTACAGTCAAATTTTTTTATAATTTTAATGCATTCGGAATCCTTCAAAACTCCCAGAAAACATTTTATTACTTTTCTAAGAAGACTATTTATTTAGTTATTTTCAATCAAAAAACGCTTACTTTCGTTTTCGCCTGAAACGGGGAGTCACGTGATTATGCACGAACTAACGTCACACGTGTCCATCTGCCGTTCACTTACAATACCTGTGCTGTGAAAACCAATACGTTCTAGCTTTCGTTTGAATTTTCTAACTAAATCCAACTATTTTAGATGGTCTAAAGCTATCTGTATAAAAAATTACATCTTAATATCGCTTAATAAAAATGTGGATTTGATATAACGTATTTTTATAATGTTAAATTTCAATGGTACCCACTAAAACTTTGTTAATACTTGACGAAATTTTCTAGCTCGGAATATTTAAGATTTTTTAGTTCAATAAAAAAAGTGCATGGTATTACTTATAAATGATGCGTTATAAATACAAAATAACTTCGTTTTTTCATTTTTTAACTATAATTTTAATTGTAATGTATACTTCAAGTTCATTTGGAAGATTTATTAGTAATATCTTAAGTGAAAGAAATGTTGGATCAATTTCTTATGTAGAATAAATAGTTTTAGATTTTAAAATGTAGGACAGCTTAAGTTATTGATAATTTTTATCTATTTATTCTAGTGTGAATTCAAAGCATGTAATTGTCTTCATAGCAGTAGCCTCTTAAAAAACGTGTGATCTTATTAACATTACTTTAATTGCCTTAATCTATGTTACAAGAGTATTTGAAATCAAGCATATGCATTTATTTAGTTCTTTATTGCAGAAATAGGAATAAAATTTTATAAATGCATATAAAAATAATTTTTCGCCATAGCAAAGCTCCTATTTACTCAAAGAATAAAAATATTGAGAAAAAATATCAACATTACTGTTTATTTTTTAATTATTTAATAAATAATAAAGAATGTGCATTAGAATTTCTTTAAATTTTGTGTAAGTTAATTTTTTATTTTTGTTCTCTAGCTTTAGTGAAACAAAAGCTTTCAGCTTAATGATATTCGCTGAAATTTTGTGGATAAATGAGAAATTAAGTGAAATTTTAAGTATAACTAGATTATGGTGATGATGATGGTCAGATATATTTCAATGGTCTAGATTCTTGAAAGTGTTGATACGTTTTCGGCTATACCGTATGCATAACCTGAGATTTTTTTAAAACTATTTTAATAAATTTTTTTTAATTAAAAATGTATAATGTATTAATTTTACCATTTTATAATTCTTCATTGCAAGCACTGAAAAAGCTTGCAAAATTAAGAAGAGAGATTAACAATAACCATATTTCATTAATACTATATTGCAGAAAAAGGAATTAAAATTTATAAATAAGAATAATTTCGAACTGTAACGGAATTCCTATTTAAGCTAGGAATAATAAATATAAGCGTTAATGTTTATATTTAATACATAGTGAAACAAAAAAAAGATGACATAAACTGCATTAGTAAATATTTACTTAAAAAGAAAATCCTTCAACTCTAGTAATAAATAAATAAATTAAAGAAGCAACATTAAATTACATTATTTGAATTTTTGATCATTAACACATATATTGTAACGATGATGGATTGATATTTTTCAATGGACTAGATTTGTGAAAATACTGATTTGTTTTAATGCAATAACGAATTATAAAATCATCTATCCTATATCAAAATGTATAAAATTTCTATCCAATCTGCGACTTATTTTAATTAAGTAATTAGGTTGTAATGAAGCATTATTTTAATTTAAAAGTAAGTGGAATAAAATAATATTTTCTATGAACTTTAACACCACTGATTTCAGCCGAAAAGAAATGTTGATTCGCTGTAAAGAGCTACATAATCATTTCTTCAGATATTTTAATGATAAATAACAACGTTTGAAGTTTAAAAATCTTTCTTTCATTTTGCACACATTCTCAGAACCGTAAATTTAATCCACAAAATTTTTACTGATAATCTACAAAGGATGTTCATACGATATACGTGATATCAAAACTAAAAGAGCATTGAAATAGCCTTAGCGGATGGAAACGGCACGTTTCCCTTCGGCACATTTGACGTCATAACCAATCAGGGATCGTTTTTGATTGCATCACTTACGGAGGCCTTTTGGGGCAATTTAAATGTTTAATAACTAAATAAATTAACATTTGCCGAAAAAAACAATCAGATTTTCGGTTTCAGGAGAGAATTTCCAATAAGTTAGGTATGAAAATAAAAAAAAATTATGATATGCTGTAATTGTCCATTATATAACGCTGGCCAGCGAAATGCCATGCCAAACACCACACTGACTGTATATTATAAATAATTTTTATACTTCGTATGTTTTGAAAGCAATTTAGTAATCATTTATTTTACGCAAGAATATTAATACTAATTATATTCATATGTTAAATTAATTTTCAAAACAAAAATTTTTGTGCACTATATGGAGTGTGTATTATTACCTATGTCTATCAACTATACATTTATCTTAAAAAAATAAATGGTGCCCGCCATTCGACCGATATTCTGATATTTGCTCTTAGGTACAAAAAGGTTGGGGACCCCTGGTTTACATCATTTACCTTCCTCCATAAAAACAATCGTTTCGTTCAGATTTACATGGTTTAATATACCTATGCGACAGCATCGTTTTTAAATATAATTTATTGTTCGGTATCTGTAAGTGACGTCACGTGAGGGTGACTAACCTGATTGGCTGTGAAATCGTAGCATTTGTACATTCTACCATTAAATCTGACCAGAATTGCCAATTAAATCTAATATAAAAATTAATTCCGCCTGATAGTTAACCAAGTATAATAGCTGTAACGCTTTCGCTCCACCTTTTTTATACACAACTAGCTGATTTCAGCGGTCTTCTTCTTCTTCAGTTGCAGGTACGTGATTGAGAAAGATTTTAATATTTTTTAAAGGATTTCAACAGAATCACAAAGCAAATCTTTTGGGTTTGGAAAGTCGGAGACCTGCGCGCGCAATATAGAGGAGAAAAGTTTTATCATATACATTTCAGAGTTAAAAGAAACAATAAGCTTTAGCAATTTACTGACGGAAAAGTTATATTTCTACATAAATTATCCTAAATCAACGAATTTTTTAGATCCGTTTTACCGCTGAAGTGTCGGAATCTGTTGTTATTCTGATTATCTAGCTAATGCATTGATTAACGAAGGGAATGCGTTTAAGTGAGAAGAAATGACTCATTTCTCAAATGACCAAGGTAATCTGCAATATAGACAATAATCTGCAAGCACATTACCTACTAGGCCTTCGTTAAAGGGTAAATAACCTGAACAACAGCAACGTTTATGTGTTCTTAAAATAACATAATGTTATTTGTTCATAATGTTATTAACTATTTAGAACATCAATTTACAGCAATGAAACAATCAACACATTGATTGATAAAATCAATCGTTTTAATAACCTTAATGCAAATAATAGAAGTATTTAAAATATTACTACAATTAATGAGTTTAACATAATGACGTTTATTTATTATTCAATATCGAATAACATCGAAGAAATTAAAGTCAATAAATGCAATGAAACAAACAAAAAACTAGTTGACAGTATGTGAGAAACGAACTTTTCAACTTTAACGATACGAAAAGCATTAATGCCCAAATTACCTAGAAAAATTGCGGAAAACACTAGATTCCGCACTTTAATGGAATGCCCAATTCATCAACAGATTAGCTGTAGATAATGTGCATATTATCAGCTTTTGAGCTTCACTTTAATGGAAAAGATGGTGAAGTAATAATAAAGAGTTATCATTTAAGTTCTTCAATACCAAACGATGCTTCTCATCGCAAAACGTTGAAGGAAGGTTTTCAGAATGGACAGGGAAACGCTGTATTGGCCGGGAAGATTTGTCATCCACACCATATCAATTAAAAAAATATCCTTCGTCGTTAACACATGACTACCAGTAATCTGATTTTTTCCTAAACATTGTTTTTAAACTCTTCGTTGGTCTGAAAGCTATAACGTGGACACAGTTAAAAATATCATTTCTGATGGATAGGAGAGTTAATGTTCCCTATTAAGAACACAGGAGAAGAAGTTTTCGTGCTAAATTCTGCTTTACCCCCATTGGTAATTTAGAACTTAAAGTTCAGAGAAAAGTGAATTCATGAAAATCTGGAATTCAAATACTGAAAGAAAACTTTTCAAAACATCAACAAGCAAACACATTCCCTTAGGAAAATTTGCCATAGGTTTGCCATAAAAAATGCCATAGGATATAGGATTAAGTTTGCCATAAAAAATGCCATATGGTAAAAGTTTGCCATATAGGTATGGCAAAACACCATAGGAATATCATATGGCATTTTTTTATGTGGCAAATTTTTGCCATACGTATATGACAAAAGTGTATGGCAAAATTTTACCATAGGCAAAACATCATAGGAATATCCTATGGCATTTTTTTATGTGGCAAATTTTTGCCATACGTATATGACAAAAGTGTATGGCAAAATTTTACCATAGGCAAAACCCCATAGGAATATCCTATGGCATTTTTTTATATGACAAATTTTTACCATACATGTATGGCAAAACTTTGCCATACGTATAGGGCAAAATTTCACCATAGGCAAAATCCCATAGGAATATCCTATGGCATTTTTCTATATGGCAAATTTTTGCCATAAAACTTAGATGTGCTACATCTTATGAAGAAATATTTTTCCATAGGCTATGGTACACCTTTGCCATACAGCTATGGCAACATTTCTAGTTAATATTTTACCATACATCAAAAAATAATTACTTAAAAGGATCTTTCGTAATGGATATTAAAAATGCAAAACTTAATAATTGTGGAATAAATATATATCCAGAAAGCTTTTTTTAAAAATTTCTTTGATAAACTTCCCCTGTTTTACTTGCAGAATCCTTTCTGAATGCTGTTCTTAGTTAAATAAATTTTAAACGGTTAGTACTAACCGTTAGAAAATGGGTCCGGTTGTCGGAGCGAGTGGGGAAAATATTGCAAGATTACTTAAGTTTATGCAGTTTAAAAAGTAAATAAATATGTCGAATGTAACATCGCTTGCATGTCGATATTTTGAAAGACTATTTTCAGCATTTGGAGCTTTAGGGTTTACTCTAGGTTTATCTGAACTTATTTATTCTATACTTTAAATTGTAAGTTACTTCTGCAGATGAAAGAGAATTTCACATGAAGGCTTTCTTCCACCAAATTAGTTCCTTTTAAGAGGGGTGACTTCTCATCAGCCCCAAAATTTCCAGACCAACGAGAAACTTCATTGCCCCTGCTGGCTATTTTGTATAGTTAGTTGAAGGAAATATTTTTCGAAAAAAACTTTTTAAAGCTTTTCTAACTTCATATCAGAGCTTCTTGTGTCGGAAATGTATTCATGTTTTTTAGGTATAAATTCATAATCTATAGTCTTTTTCTGTGGTCTAGTGGAAGCTGGAAAAAATACCGTGGATTACTCCAAAGGTTTAAAGTAACAAACTATGCAAACTAAACTATACATATGTAACGAATACTGAACATTGATTTTTGGAATTTATTTATTTTACAGGATGAATGAAATTGATTATGTCCATCAATTGAACACTGGATTTCTCCTGATGATGGCTGTTACATCCAATGAAAAACTCTGTCCCAATGTCTTTGGAATTTTCGACAAACTTTTATAAGAATTGTAACCACGAAGTTCATCAATTGTCTAGCGGAAGCTGGAAGGATTGCTACCCGATTGATACCCTGAGTTGGATATGTATGTAGGAGTGTTTTCATATCATGGGACTTTAACAACTTAAGTACTGATTTTATTTTATTTAAATGTTTTGACATCAAGCTTTTATGAAAACTTTAAACATCTAGCTTTCATAAATTAGTTTTATGTGCACTGATTTTTAATAATATGGGCAAATAAAGTTACTTAGTTACTCCTACCTTGCTAGATCAGGCATTAGGTAATTTCTTTGACATGCATTAGTCAATTAAAAAGTGATATTACACATTAATTTATTCTAGTTTTAATATTATATATAATATGATACTGTTTGATAGTGAAAGACTCTTGGAATTTTATACCAATTTTAAACACATTTAAGATTCTTAGAAGCGCCAATTTAATAATGAGATGAAGCTTTTACAGAGCTGTGATTTTCTTAGACGTCTATAGTTAAAATAATAACGAGCTTAAGAACTTCACTAAAAATGTTTATAGACAAACATCCAACGTCTAATGTAGTTTTAAAAAGAGTAGGAAGTTCTCTCATACTCTTGGTGCTCTCTCTCATTTTTATAAGTCTCTTAACTTACATCTAAAGCTCCACTAGTCGTTGATATTATTAAAATCAACTATCATTAAATCTTGGCAATCGTTAAATACTGTTTCCGTCAGTTTTAGAAACTTGATTTCCCGATATTTGCTTGCAAAGTTTTGACTAGTGTCATCATAATCTTAAGAAAATCGTCTGGGGATTTCTGCAATAAATTTATTTTAAACATGGTTTGAGCTTTTTTGTGATAAACTCAGAAACAGTGATATTTGTCCCTTCTTCTTAAGCACACTAATTGTAAAGAAACAGTGTTTGTAGTATCAATAATCTGTCTATTTCTCTAGTTGATTTTTATTTGTCAAACTACTTTTTTAATATCTTATTTTCAAACTTTTTAAACTTTGGATGCATTATAGCTGAGTTATACACAATTGTGAACTTTTCACAATCGAGTTATTACTTTCATGTAGTTGGACACATTTGAAAAGAAAGGACTCGGCATTTGCAATGAGTTTGTTAAAACATTTTTTTGAGAATTACCTGAAATCAAATTTTATGTGAAAAATTTTATATTACGTGTTACAAACGTGAGAATGTTTGAAAAGTCTAAGTCAATATATGTTCAATTTGTGCAAAAGCACCGGAGATTCCTCACGGAGGAACTTTTTTAGAAGGGAAAACATTTTTAGTTCAGTTTTTAAAAGAGGTTGCAACATTGAATCAGTTAAATTTTCAAACTTTATAGATTTCTGAGTGTTAGAAGCTTAGAAGGAGATACGCAACAACAAAATTTTTCAAAACTGAATCGGGTTTCTTATTTTTATTTTCACGTAGTTTGACATTGAGTGTTAAAATTCCTGTCCTATATATATGAATTGAAATTCCTACATGTGAGAGTAGCTAAGGAAGACCAGAACATTTTGTATTAATGCACGTTTTGGAAGACGTAAGTTTTTCCAACTTTTTTATAACGTTCTCTTAAAACAACAATTTCTTTCTTTGCTCATGACATTGTAACTTCTTAAATTGCCAACAGAAAGAATATAACTCTCGCCTTCCAATTAGATGACCCAGATTCGAGTATAACCACGAAGAGTTTTCGCTTCTTTTTATGTAACGCAATCGTGAGTTACGCAGACGCTCCTTCAATAAGTCCTCCGCGAAAGCTAGCTTCTTTTCCCTTGTCTTTTGGGTTGGTAACAAAATTATGAGTCTACGAGCCGCAAACTCAAAAGTGGGTCAGCCGTTTAACACCGAATGTTTATTTTACTCAATTATCTGAAATATATTTTCATCGCTTTTTTTTCATTGTTTTAAAAACTTTTCTAAGAAGTAAATATATAATAATACCTGCGAAATATTTCACAGACACATATTATTGAAAAATTCTTACCTAAATTATTTTTTTCTTTATCTTCTTCTTAATTGTGTCATTTTTTACATGAAGCAAACATGAAATAGCTACTGATCACTCGTCATACTCTAAGAATTAAATATACAACAATTATTACTCTGAAATTTCCCTTTAATCTTCTTCTTAATTGTTTCATAAATCTTTACGTCATTTAATTTTTGGTGCTTCAATACTAAGATGTTCTAAGTAAAGTACTAAATGGAAAAAAAAATAAAACTGCTTCAGCAAAACTTTGATAAAAATACATGATAATGTATGTGATAATTAATACATCTACTTATTGTAATAGCTGTGAATTTCAATGAATATATATAGGAAGTAAAAAAAATAGTGTTTGTCTATTTAAATGTGTCTTTATATTTATGTCATATATAGTATAATGCTAGATGTTAACTGTTGTTAATTTTTAAAATTGAATTTGATGGTAATTGTTAAGTCTGTAAAAAATATCATTTATAAAAGTTATAATGAAGATATATTGCGTATTTTTATATGTTTAAATTTGTTCCATGTCATGAGCTTTGTAAAAATTGTAAAATGATGCACATAGTTTTAGTGATTTATGCAAAAGAGACCCTATAATAATATTATTTGCTGTAGTGTTGCTTGTTATTTAAGCTTTGTCAGCTTAATCTTAAAATAAACTTCTTACGTTGGAAAAACTAATTAAATTTTAATGAAAAGTTAATTTTAAGAAATATGTTTCAAAAGTTATGAAATTAATTAAGCCAATATAAATATTTTTAAGTATATTAGATATCATTTTTTTGCATTATGATTGAGGCAATTTCGAAGGTTTTTTGATGCAGTTTTAATTTTGAATGAAAAAAGCGAAATTAGTTGTAATTTAAAAATTTATTACTGTATCTGCTGTTTTAAAGTCTAGTTTATCGATCATCATATTCCATTGAAATATTCATATTTTTTATTTTTCATATGGTTTTGTTGCACAATGCATCTCAGAGCTACCCAAAATTAAAAAGAAAAAAAAATGTTGAAATTAAACTTTTAAACCTAAAACCGGTTCTGTAAATGAAGAGAATTTGTGGAGCAAGTAGAGAGATAAAAAAAATTGATTGCTAAGGAAAAAGCTCACAAAAAATGCTATTTTTAATCTTTTCAACACATAATCTCGGTCTTTATTTATAGCATACCATTAAGGATGTTAAGTAATAGCCTCCCTTGATAAATATTTTTAGTATCATTGTCACAAAATAAAATAAAAAATTTATCATTTATTTTGCATTTTCTGAAAATTTATAGTTGATTTGCGTGTTTGAATTTCTTCAGGAATTCGAGATTTTTAAGAAATTACAAAGTTTTTTAATATGCTGTTTTAAAAATTCATACAGAGTTGTTTAACGTGTTGTATATTAGATAACATCAGAGAACTTTTTCTAACCATTAATACCTCAGAAACTACTCGTCCTATTTTATGAGATTATATACAATTTAATCAATATGGACTTTACATCCTCATTTTGTTAAAAAAAAAGTTTTTAGAACGTATTATGCTACATGGAATTCGTCTATTCATAAGATAGTTTAAATCCAAATAACAATTAGATAATTTCTGCTATATGGAAGCAATTCGATTTTTAAAAAAAAATTTCTTGCAAAAGATATCACAGTTTAGCGTTAATGATTTAAATGGGATCAATAACTTTTGCTTTATCGTTTCAATTAGATTTTTAAAATAAAGTTTTCTAGTAAAAGATATTACAGTTTGACTTTTGGCCCGTTTTGCCATACTCTGTAAAGGTTGCAGTAACTTTTTAGGAAGATCGATTTTCGAGAAATTCATTTTATCTCATTATTTTACTAGCTGTAAGTTTTTAGAAAATGAAACATTTATAGCGCTTCTTCCTTAATGTATACAATTTTTTAGAAATAACTATCCTTTTTAATCCAAGTCAGCTTGCTGAATAGCGAATGAGAACAAATGATATAAATAAAGTAAGTTTCAATTTCATATGCCAATACTGACAGAACTTTTGTAACAATGCAAAGTTTATGTTTAAATATTTTTTTTCACGTCTCTTTATTTATATTCCTAATACTCCTGTTTTCACTTATTTTATTTTTGAATATTATTGAAGCATATATAAAGTACAGTGATCCAAAAAAAAGTATTTCCCTAACTAATTCACACTTAATAGCAATCTAAGGCAATGAAAAAGACGCACTCTAAATATGCAAATTAATTATTCTTAGTATCTAAATAGGCATTTTTATCATCTATCTAAAACACTACAGGGAAGTCTTGCTGTTCTCCTTTGATGTTATTGCGGAGCGTAATTATTTCTTTTTCTTTTTAAAAAAAATATTTACTCTTTAATGAATTACTTCATTGAATTCGGCGTGATCTGTCTTCAAAGAATTCAAACATTTTAATTTTAGCCAACAAATTAGTGCTCCGATACTTTGTGCACTCAAATCCCTCGATGCATAGTGCACCCAAACCCTTCGATGCATAGTACACCTTCTTTCTTAACAAAAAAAACAACAAAAAATTTGTAAATGGGCCCAAGATTTTTCCGATTTGAGAAATTAACCAACTAAAAAAATTTTTTCTTCTTCTGGAGAAAATGTCTCTTAGTCTGTCATTAACACGTATTCATAACAAAAATTAATTACTTAGGTATACTTAAAGTACATCATTTGAAGCATTGAAGTTACAACTGAATATATGGAAATCCGTTGCTTAAATCAAAGGTTATTTAGGGTAGTACTTTTTTATAGATTTGTACTGTTAGTTAACAAATAGGAAGAAATAATTTTTGCACACTTGGCGATAATAATAATCTGTAAATAATTACTGCCTGTTGCAAATAACTTATTGCAAATCTGAAAAATAAAATGTTAAATGCACAAGTTTTTCTATTCATCTTCTTTATGGTCACCTGCAATTATTTGTAGCCTTTATCAATCAATAAAAGCTGTAAGCTATCAGTATATTATGTTTATAAATATAGTTTATAAACATTTTGTCCCTGTTACAAATAACTTGTAAAAATTCTGCAAAATAAAATGTTAGATGTAATGTTGAACTTTTTCTTCTCATTTTCTTTTAACTTTGAACCTCCTAAGCCGCAGCTTGCAATATATAGGATAACATTTGGTGAAATTTTATTGCTTAAAAAATTTGAGTTATTTTTTTCTATTTGTGTAACAAAGAGATCTTTTATATAAAATTATAATTCGTTTACATTTTCAGTTGGGGATTGTATTTAATTTATTATTAAATAAAATTTTGAGAAAGGTAAGTAATTCAATTCAAGTAGCCTTTCAGATTGAGTTTTGGCACATGCACTTGCTATTTGAATTTTGTGAATTTTGTTTCATGACTAAAATGTGAAGAAACATATATCTTTAAAAAAATCTCCTGCAATCTGCAAAAAATTCTAAAATTTAAAATTTATAATTTTTATGAAAAAATTTAAAATAGCTAAAAGAGAGTTCGTTTTAATTGAATGACATTTTTTTATAATTTTTTTGAAATATTTCATTAGACTCAATATGCTGAAAGGAGTAACATACCAGTCCAGCAGTTATCGCCACTTAAAAGGAGACAAAACCCTAAAATCCCAACTTTCTGCAAGTTTTGAAAGTCTCCGGTCTTTTTCAAACTTGTTACCTAGAAAATTAAAAAAATATCCTTTCTCTTATTTTCACTTGTTATCTCTCTTTCCCAGTTCATTCCGCTCTTAGAGCTGAAACTACGATTTCCCTCCTCATGACGTCACGCTGCACACAGATCTCGGAGATAGCAAGCAAAGATATTATGAAAACTTTGTATCATTCAATCTATAAAAATAAGTTCGACATTTTCTTGATATTAGCTTTCAAACTTTATGCAATTAGCATATTATTTCCTTTCAAAAACATAGCTTTAAAAAATTTTCTTGGCCAAAAATATTAAATTAAATACCATTTTAAACTAATAAAAATATTTTACTAGTTGTCAAAAATGACGCTATTAAATACTTTATTTTAAAATTTTTAGTTTTAACCTTTATTATTAAAACAAAATTTAATGCAGATATCGGCACTTTTTAGCTACATATTGTTCTATAACAATAATTTGTAAAGTTGATTTCAAAATATGCTGTTAATGGCAATTTGTTTATACTTAATCATTAGGAAACAACAACCTTAAAAGCTAATTATTCTAACAAAATAATAATTTAGATTCATGAAAATATTAGAAATTTTACAATTGCTTATAGATATGAAAATTTAAAAGAATATAATTAGATTAAAAAATAATTATATTGTAATTAAAAAAATAATAAATATTTAGAATAACTACATTAAAAACAACGTTATGCAACTAGGAGAATTTCAACTATTAATTTTCTATACTTTTAATTTAAGTTTCTATTTTCTTTGATTTATTTATTTTTTCGTCTGCCTTTTTTTTTTTTTTTTTGAAGTTGCTGGGTGGTTTCAATTTAGATGGCGAATTCTTATAAAAGCTCTGAAATGTAAAATAAGCGTATTGCTGTTTTATTCACTGCGGGATATCGTCCCTCTAATTCATTTATAAATTCCTTGATGACACTTTTTGACTTTCCTCCCCATGCACACTTCGAAAAATGTTCTCAAATTCCTGACACACTTCCATCCATGATACTGACAGAACAATTAGTCCTCCCTTAGAAAAAAAAGCACTTGGTGGAGTTGGAGCACTTTAAATCGGCAATCCAAACAAACGATTTCTCATATCATCTTCATAATCTTGTTTTAAGAAATGGGTCATTTTATTTGCAATGTTGAAGCCATTTCTTACATAGTTGTTCATTTACTTTCGGGAACACGTGGAAAATTATTTTTTTCCCTTGTGTGTTCTATCAGAATTTTTGTAAGTTCAATCGCACAAACTGGAATTTCATAAATAATTTTAAATTTTTGTAATTCACTTCACAAAACTGAGAAAAATCATTATAGGAAACAAAGAATGTCTTGGAATATGTCACAAAAAGGAATGCTCCTATATTAGTTAAAGCTTGTTAGACCGAACACTTCGTTCTTGAAGTAAAAGCTCAAGCTTTGCGCCACCGTGAAGTCACAGACGAAAAGCGAGGGTTTAGAACGGAGAAAGTTTCTACAAAGGAGTGAACTAGCCCTTCTATTCCCTTTAGACCTGAGAGTAAGCACTCTCTTCACTGATTAAAATATATCTATTATATTATATATATTATATTTACTATATATATATTTACTTATATTTATATATTATATATACTCTATTATATTTACCACCCGCAGAGCAGCATCCCTACAACAAAAAAGTCATCTCACGGGAGAACGTTACTTCAAATTGCAACGCTCTCTCCTATGGATCAAGACTATTTTGTCTTCACTTCGGAAATATCGGATATCAACAGAAACTGATTTCTGTTCATTAATTGGCTTAAATATGGGGTGAAGTAACATGGCAATAGAGTGAAGTTTTGTTAGTAATTTTTTAAGTTCCTCTGTCGTGAGACTGACATTGTGATATTCTTTTCGTTAAAGTGCTCCTAATTCAATAAAATCTTTTATTAGTTTGAAACTTAAATATAATTTTTAAATATTTATTATATTTTATTTAGATTGATTATCCTAATTGCTTAAATTTTAATTCTTCTTATCTTTAACTGAGGCTGGAGCAAATTCTTTGAGATTTTATTATAATATTATATTTGTAGTCAAAATATAATAAAAAATACACGAGAAATCAAAACAAAGAAATCAGAACGAAGATAAATTATAACAAAAAACACAAAATACAATTTTGTGCTTTCGATTATGATTTATCTTCGGAAGATATATATGAGAAACAAATCTGTAAAATCTATCTACGTAATAAATAAAAGTCTTGTTTTCATTTTTTTATTCATTTTATTTAACTGTTAAAAGCAGAATCGTTGTAAACGGGATATGTGACTAGGAGCTCTTTAATCATTATAAGACTCCTACAATGAAGGACTTGAAAAGAATTTATTTTCAAAAGTGAAAATTTTAAAACTTTTTTTTCTGTTTCAGTATAGTAAAATATTTTTAATTAAATATTAAAGTATGTACACAAAGATGCATCTAATATTTTTAGATAATTATTTCAATGGGGACCATAAAAACAAAATTCTCTACTTCTGTAAACCCAACACCTAATCTATTGAGGAATAATAGAAAATATAATAAATTTGAAAAATTCAATAAAAATGGGAATAAATTTGAAAAGTAGGCAAATATTCAATAATTTAGACAAAAATCTACGTAATCCATTTTCCTAGAGGTCCCGCTGAAAGAGAATAAAAGAAAAATATTTTTTTCTCAGATGCCAACGAAAAATATTTTTCTATAGATCCCCGCCACGTTTAGGAACAACCCTGATTTATAAGTAAACTACACTGTAAAATATTCCGAGCTATGTCGCGCCAAATTTTGGTATTCATTTGCTGACTACATGAAGTGGTGCTCAGTTTTGCTATATATTATTGGTGCTTTCACTAGTTACAAATAACGGGAGAAGGTTGCACCAAAATAGGTATTTTGAAAAGACCTACAAGCTGAGAAAGGTTGCTCCAAAAATAAGTGTTTTGAAGGAAACTGAAAGTGAAGGAAGGTTGTAGTATGATTTAGTATTTTTAAAGTGCTAAAAATCAGAAAAATTTATCATTAAAAGTAATCATTATTAAGTATTTATAAGAAAGGAGGAGAAATTTAATTGTTGAATAATGTGAAAATTATTGTATCATAAAATGATGTTTTATTAATCCTAAAAAAAGAGTAAAGGTGCTATTATAAGTGGGTTATTTAATGAAACTAAATATGGATCAGTTACACTTTAGTGCAACTTCTCCTTATCATTTAGTATGCGTGCAGAGCACCAAATGTATATATATATATATATATATANTGGATTCATTATTTTTAAAGAAATATAAAAGAAAAATTATATATATATATATCAAAATAAATAAATACGAAAAAGCACGAAGAAAGTTAAGAATAACAATAAGTTTCATTTATTGTGCATTAAGAAAGGAACAATAAAAATTAAAAAAGAATTTTAATTTTTATCTCAAGCAAATTCTTATTACTACGTATTCTGAAATTATTTTGTAATTTAAAAATGAAAATATTACTTTCACAAATAAAAATTTATATTAAAGAGTGGAGAAATATTGGATTGGTTAACCCCCAATCTCTTATATAAAAAACATGCCAATATTAATTACATTGGAGCACGGAAATAATAAATTTTAAGTAGATTAAGAAACGCAAAAATATTTACATAACTTGGAATTAAGAGCAAAAAATATACAGACTCAGATCAGTATTCAAACATAATTTACACATTTACAGTCACCTTGATGTTTGCATACATAGACAGAATTTAATAATTTTTATGCAAAAAAATAATCAAAATTTAAATATAACTTACTTTTTACATATTTTTACGTATCTCAGCATTAGTGAGAAAAATACAAAATGAAAGGTACAAAATGAAAGGTAAACTTGAAAGATACGGAGAACATTAGAAGGGATTTACATTACATTAGAAGGGATTTACAGCTTTTGCAATTTCAGCTTCCAACTATAGCACTAAGTACTTCATACAAAAATTTTATGATTCATATTTAAATATTTATTCATGATCAAATAATGGATGTTTGGGAACGGCAACACTGTCTTTCTAATATTTATATTCTGACAGAGGATAATAATCTATAAGATTTACTCGTGCTATTATTTTAACTACATCGCATTTTTTCTGTTTAAAAACGCAACAAGAATGAAAAAGATTTACACGCAAATAAAACTTTTTAGCTTTTCCAAAAAATAGCAATTATTTCTCCAAATACAGGTTCCTCATTCTTGAAACTTGAAACTACACACATTCCTTGTTTGCAAGCTATTCTTGAAACTAATATTTTTGAAGTCTGAAAAAACTGTTTACAGCCTTCTGGAATTCTGGTAATTTCGGCAGAATAATTATTTTTATAAATAGCCTTTGCACTGTTT